AAAGGTGCGGGAAGGGAAGGGAAGGTGCGGGAAGGTGCGGGAAGGGAAGGGGCGGGAAGGGAAGGGAAGGGAAGGGAAGGGAAGGGAAGGGAAGGGGGAGAGAGAAAGAAGGAGAGAAAGGTAGGGAAGCTGGCACATTCTGTGTCCAACAGAGCCTCATCCCGACAGGGCCATGGGATTCCCCAGCATCCACAGCCAGCATTCCCTGTGGGAACATACTGGGCAGCAGGTCATAGCTGAGCTGGCGGTGCAGTTTGTCCTCCAGGATGAGCAGGAGCGTGAGCTGTGGAGAAAGGAGAGAGTCTGCTCATCCCAACCCCTCCAAAGGCACCAGCAGGTGCTGGCCAGGGATGGGGGAGCTCTGGGGCAGTGCTGGGATAGGGGAGCTCTGGGGCAGTGCTGGGATGGGGGAGCTCTGGGGCAGTGCAGGGATGGGGGAGCTCTGGGGCAGTGCTGGGATGGGGGAGCTCTGGGGCAGTGCTGGGATGGGGGAGCTCTGGGGCAGTGCTGGGATGGGGGAGCTCTGGGGCAGTGCAGGGATAGGGGAGCTCTGGGGCAGTGCTGGGATGGGGGAGCTCTGGGGCAGTGCTGGGATGGGGGAGCTCTGGGGCAGTGCTGGGCAGGAATGGGGGAGCTCTGGGGCACTGCTGGTGCCCCGGAGCAAGTCCAGGTCCCTGTAAGTTCTGGGCCAGAAAAAACAGGAGTCCAGAAGTGTCTGGAAACACCAGAGACATCCAGACACTCCAGGTGTGTGTCCCACAGGCCAGGGGAATTTGTGACCTTTTGGGAATTCTCTCACTGTACAGGACAGGAGTGAGTTCTTTGGGTACCATGGAAACTGGCTGAGGCCTTTCCCAGTCTGACTCCCAGGTACCATTTCCTGCTGTGATACCCCAGGCAGATTTCCCTCGGCCATTTTCCTGTCAGATTTCCTGGTGTGATTTCCCAATCCCGTTCCCAGTGGATGTGCAGGGAGCAGGTCTCTTCCAGTGCCGGGAGCGGGTCGGGATGCAGGTACTCACGTGCCACTGGCTCTTGTCCTCGTTCAGCTCCATGTTGCACTGCATCTGCACCACCTGGAAAAGCCCAACTCGGGATCAGCCTGGACACGGCCCCTCTGGCCCTGGGGTCTGCAATTCCTCCTGACAGCCCGTGATTCCTCTCCCAGCTCTCACCTGGGCCAACAGGAGAGGTGTCCCTGCAGCGGGGATGGAGACTGCAGGAGCTGTCCCCACCTGGAGCTGGCCTTACCTTCCTGGTCTCCACATCAAAGGGCTCTGGCGTGGGAGTCTTGGCTTTCTGAGGATCCTCCTGGGGCTGGGAGAGGGCGCGGGGGAGGGCGTGGGGTCTGGAGACAGCGAAGTTCATCAGGGGGTAAATCCCATTCCTGGCACGGACATGGAGGGAGGACAAAGAGCTGATTCCAGCCCCTGGGCCCCGCAGAGCTGGCTCTGCAAGGAGCAGGGATGGGCTCCGAGCACAGCTGGGGACAGCTCCGAGCACAGCTGGGGACAGCTCTGAGCACAGCTGGGGACAGCTCTGAGCACAGCTGGGGACAGCTCTGAGCACAGCTGGGGACAGCTCTGACACTCCACGTGCTCCCAGGGAGCCCAGGCAGAGCTGGGAGCTCCAACACACCTGACATCCTCCAGGAACTTGTCGAGCTCAAGGAAGGAAACCTCCGAGTACCTGGGCAGGGAACAGGATGGGAGGGTTCAGGGAGTGAAGGGCTCCTTCCCACGGCACCGGGATCTCCAGGCTGGATCCTGTGGAATCTCCCCCATCCTCACCTCCACTGCGCCCCGGGCCGACCCTCCCTGCGGATCTCGGCCATCACCATGTTCAGGTCCAGCTCCTTGATTTTCTCCTCCACCACGTTCTCTGGCATCAGATCTGGGGCAGAGGCACAGGGGGTGTGTGGGTCCTGCAGCCCCTGCTCCAGGGAGGGGCTGGGAGTCCCTGCCTCCCTCCCCAGGCTCTGCACATGGAATCACGGAATGTTTTGTGTGGGAGGGACCCTAAATCCCATCAGTCCCACCCCCTGCCAGGGGCAGGGACACCTTCCCCCATCCCAGGTTGCTCCAAACCCCATCCAATGTGGCCTGGAACACTGCCAGGGATGGGGCAGCCACAGCTTCTCTGGGCACCCTGTGCCAGGGCCTCAGCACCCTCACAGCCAGGAATTCCTTCCCAAAATCCCTCTAACCCTGTCCTCTGGCAGGGGGAAACCATTCCCCCTTGCCTTGTCACTGCATCCCTAGTGCAAAGACTTCTGCAGCTCCTCTGGAGCCCCTTCAGGCACTGCAAGGGGCTCTAAGGTCTGCTTGGACCCTTCTCTGCTCCAGGCTGAACATTCCCAGCTCTCCCAGCCTGGCTCCTTGGGAGAAGACGAGTTTGGGGGTCCGGGTGGTCCCAGGCACTCACACTGGTGGTTGATGAAGCAATGGGCTGCCAGCAGCTTCAGGGAATGCACCTCGAAGAGCACCCGGTGGAAGAGGAGGTTGTTGGCGGTCGGGCGCTTGTCCGGGTTCAGGGTCAGGCAGGACAGGATGAACTCCTGGGATCAGAGCAGGGGCACGAGCTGGAGCAGAGCAGCACATTCCCCTGCTGCTCTCACAGGAGCATTTCACACAGCCACAGAATCATGGAATCACTGGGGCTGGAAAAGAGCTCACAGAGCAGCGAGTCCACCCTGTGCCCGATCCCCACCTTGTCACCAGCCCGAAGCACTCAGTGTCCGAGTCACTCCTTGGGCAGCTCCAGGGATGGCCACTCCAAACCTCCCTGGGCACTTCCAATCCCTGACTGCCCTTTCCACGAACAAATTCCTGCTGATGTCCAGCCTGAGTCTCCCTGGCCCAGCCTGAGGCCGTTCCCTCTCCTCCTGTCCCTGTTCCCTCCTGGCAGGGACTTGTGCAGAGCCACGAGGGCCCCCTGAGCCTCCTTTGCTCCAGGCTGAGCCCCTTTCCCAGCTCCCCCAGATGCTCCAGACCTTTCCCCAGCTGCATTTCCTTCCCTGGACACATTCCAGCACCTCACATGTCCTTACCTGGGGACCTCAAAGCTGCCCAGGGCCGGAGGTGTCGCAGCAGTGCCAGCACAGGGCTCACTGCCCTGGCCTGGGCTCACACTGTTTTTAATACAATTTCCCAGGACACAGATCCAAAGGGCTCTTTCTGCAGCAGGAGCCCCAGGACAGGGAGCTGCAGCAGAATTCCGGTGGGCAGAGAGGGAAGGGGGTCCCCACTGGCCCCATCCCAGGTGTGAGCCCAGCAAAGGCTGCAGGAGAAGGGGCAGAACCGGGATCAGCCCCGAGAGCAGGAACGTGGTGCTGGGAGTGGGGAAGGGGCAGGATGAGCAGCAGAATCCAAGGGATCCGCCTGTTCCTGCTCCCTGAGAGCACAGGAGCCAAATCTGCCACTGCTCCTCCAGCCCCTGCCCTGCTGCTGACAGGGAATGGGCCAGGATATCTGGGATCTATCCAAAAATGATCCCAGGGGTGCCAGGTGGGCTCCCCCAGACTGGGACCCTCAGAACCACCTGCCCCAGAGACCCTCGGGCGCGACTCCAACCGCTCCTGGGTGCTCCAGAGGAGACTCCCTGGCTCTCCTGAAACGTGGGAGCTGTGGGATCTGAGGGCAGGATTTACTGTGGGATGCCTCGAGAAACTCTGTGATCAAACAAGAGAATCTGGGGAATGTACAAACTCATCATGGGATGTTTTGGAGACTGCCACAGGAAGAGGAAGAGGAAGGGGGGTTGAGTGGCTCAGGGTGGATGGAGGGGGATCAAAGGTTCCAGCTGTTCCTCTGGCTGAGCCCAAATCCCAACTGCTCTCCAGACTGTTCTGTCTCCTTATTAAACCTCGTTCCCAAGTATTTATGGGGAAGCTTGTTCTCTGTTCCCTGGATCCACGTGGGCCCCAGGCAACGTGGAGCTGGAGCAGCTGAGGAGTGAGATGGAGCTTGGGAAGGGGGCACAGGTACCCAGGACACCACAGGTGTGAGGGACAACGGGGACACCCATGGGACAGGGCCAGACCCCTTCTGCACCTCCTGGGAACTGGCAGGATGGGATTTCCACCCAGGAGGGATGAGGGATGGGATTTACACCCAGGAGGGATGCAGGACAGGGATTTACACCCAGGAGGGATGAGGGATGGGATTTCCACCCAGGAGGGATGCAGGATGGGATTTACACCCAGGAGGGATGAGGGATGGGATTTCCACCCAGGAGGGATGAGGGATGGGATTTACACCCAGGAGGGATGAGGGATGGGATTTACACCCAGGAGGGATGAGGGATGGGATTTACACCCAGGAGGGATGAGGGATGGGATTTACACCCAGGAGGCTCCTCCAGCTGCACTCACCCTCATGTTGGGATCATCCAGGGAATGCCGGGCCCGGGCGATGGCCTCCTCCGAGACCCGCGTGTCCCCGTTGGTCTGGATCTCCAGCACGGCCATCTGGGAGGGGAAGCACGGCCAGTCCATGGGGGCTTCACTGGGGACACCCCCGGGCAGGGGACTCCTCAGGACAGGGACACCTCAGGACAGGGGACACCTCAGGACAGGGACACCTCAGGACAGGGGACTCCTCAGGACAGGGGACATCTCTGGACAGGGGACACCCCAGGACAGAGGACACCTCAGGACAGGGGACACCTCAGGACAGGGGACACCTCAGAACAGGGGACACCCCCAGACAGGGGACACCTCAGGACAGGGACACCCTAGGACAGGGATACCTCAGGACAGGGACACCCCCAGACAGGGGACACCTCAGGACAGGGGACAGGGGACAGGGGACACCTCTGGATGGGGACACCCCCGGACAGGGGACACCTCAGGACAGGGGACACCTCTGGACGGGGACACCTCTGGACGGGGGACACCCCTGGACAGGGGACACCCCCGGACAGGGGACAGGGGACAGGGGACAGGGTCCCACGGTTCCCAGGGCCCCGCCCCGCTCCGCACCTCCAGCGCGCACATCCCAAAGGAGAAGATGTCCACGGCCGTCCCGTCCGCCTTCTCTGGAACAGGGACCGGGACACGTCAGGGCAGAGCCCCCCCTGGAGACCCCCACCCCGCACAGGACCCCCGTGTCCCCCCAGCCCCACTCACGGCCGTATTCCGGAGGGAAGAAGTGAAGGTTCCGCAGCTCCTCCCGCTCGATCCTGATGGGGCTGCGGAGATCGTCCGGGAGCGCTGGGGGGACATGGGAGAGGGTCTGGGGGGGCTGAGGGGTGGGGGTGTGAGTGTGCCCACCCGGGGGGGATGGGGGGTGTGAGTGTGCCCACCCGGGGGGGATGGGGGGTGTGAGTGTGCCCACCCGGGGGGGATGGGGGGTGTGAGTGTGCCCCCCCGGGGGTGTGAGGGGATGGGGAGTGTGAGTGTGCCCACCCGGGGGGGATCAGGGGATCGGGGGTGTGAGTGTGCCCACCCGGGGGGGATGAGGGATGGGGGAGGATCCTCATGTGTGTGCCCCTGCCCACCCCCAGCCTCCTCCCATCCCAGGAGACCCCTCTGCTCCCCCCCGGGAGCAGCAATTCCTGAAGGGATGAAGGTGCTGCCTCCCCACAGAGCCCAGGATGCTCCCCTGGGGGCGGTGCCCCTCTGGGGGGGCTGAGGGGCGGCAGGGGGGGTCCCCAGGGCAGGGGTCACTCACCGTTGGCAAACACCCGGTGCCAAACTGCCAGGCAGCGCCGGACGGAGCCGCGCGTTGGGAAGGGAGGAGAGGGCAAGAAGAACGAGTGACACCAAGGTTGGCACCCCAAAAAGGGACCCCACACTTCTCGGGGGTCCTGCCTGCCTAGGACCCGCCACACGCCCCACAGGACCCCTGCCCCCTTCCTCCTGCCAACCCCCTTGGACCCCCCAAACCCCCTTGGACCCCCTGTGACCTCCTCAGAGCCCTCAGACCCCTCTGGATCCCTCAGACCCCCTTGAACCCCTCTGGCCCCCTCAGACCCCCCCAGACCCCCCCGGACCCCTGGGGTGGGGCCGGCGCTGCCCCACCGGAGCCGATCTTGATGAGCCCGTTGTGCTGGATGAAGATGGTGTCGCTGGTGAGGTTGCCGTGGATGATGGGGGGCTCACAGGAGTGCAGGAAGCTGGGGGGGCACAGGGGTGTCCCGAGCACAGCCCGCACCCCTGGGGCCCCGCGGGGCAGGGCAGGGAGCCGGGGGAGCCTCACCTGAGAGCCGAGAGGATTTGGGTGCACCAGCGCTTCCAGGCCTAGGGCAGGGACAGAGCAGGGACAGAACTGCAGCAGCCAGGACACGCTGGCACCCATGGCCAGGCCAGGGCTCCCCATCCCGGCCATCCCTAGGACGAGGGACATCCCCTGTGCCCTGCCAAGGCTCAGGGTCCTTTAATGCCATCCCCAGCACTGGGGACATCCCCTGTGCCCTGCCGAGGCTCAGGGTCCTTCCCTGCCATCCCCAGCACCAGGAACATCCTGCAGGAATGTCCTCCAGGAACATCCCCTGCCTGGGGCTCTGGGGTGTGTCCCACACTGTCCCACAGTCCTGTCCCTGTCCCCTGTTCCAATGACTGCAGCAAATGGCTCAGGGCTGTGGGAGAGCTGGGAGGGACACTGGAGGAGGGATGGAGTGGCTGCCAGAGGACAGGGATGGACGGGATATTGGGAAGAAACCCGTCCCTGGGAGGGTGGGGAAGTCCTGGCACAGGTTGCCCAGAGCAGCTGTGGCTGCCCCACCCCTGGCAGTGCCCAAGGCCGGGTTGGACAGGGCTTGGAGCAGCCTGGGATAGTGGAAGGTGGCCCTGTCCATGGCAGGGGTGGCTCTGGATCATCCCACAGCTCCCTCGCAGCCCTGGGCAGTGGCTTTGCAGGTGATGCTGGTCCCTTGTCCCCAGGTGCCAGCCCTGGGCAGGGGCAGCACACCAAGAGTGGTGACACCTGGGGCAGTGCCACCCACTGCAGCCACTCCCACCTTGGGGCCAGTGGGATCCAGCTGGGGCTCTCCTGGGGCCCAGCAGGGTCCCCACGTGACCCTGGGAACAGCAACTCCCACCTGCTCTGCCCTGTAAGATCCCAGAGACCCTCCCTGGGACGGGGACACAGAGCCACCCGCTCCAGCTGGGACCCCTGTCGTGCTCCCAGGACTCACCCGGGCATTCATGGCCTTGTGGTTCTTCTTGGTTTTCTTCAGGAACTGCTTGAGGCTCCCTGAGGACACGTACTCCGTGATGAAGATGACCTGGCAGGGGACAGGGGGTCAGCTCCCCCCAGCCCGGCCCCTCATGGGGAAAGGAGGCTGAGGAGCAGAGCTGGGACCCCCTGGTGCCCCCCGGCCCCCTACCCGTGCCTTTGAGTCCTTCACATCCAGCCAGTACTTGTGGAGCTTCACAATGTTGGGGTGATCCACCAGCACCAGCTGCTCAAACATGGTCTTGATCTTCTCCTGGGGGCACACAGAGCACAGGTGAGGTCCTGGGATGGGCCAGGACAGGTGAGGTGGAAGGGAAGGTCCTGGCATGCAGAAGGTCCTGGGATGTGGCAGGGCACCCCCAGAGCTGGGGGTGTCACAGGGACGCTGGTCTGAGGTCCAAAGGACCTGCCTTTGTGGGAGAAGCCAAGGAGGACCCAGTGCCAGAGGGCAGGAGCCCATCCTGCCAGGCTGTGCCCCACCCAGGAAGGTGTGGGGGGCTCTCAGGGTCTCACCTCGTGTGCTTTGAAGGCCTTCTTGTCAGTGAAGAGCAGCTCGTTCCACACCACCTCCACACCCTCCTCCGTGTCCATGGCCAGGAAGGTGCTCTGGATGCCGGGCATGTTCCCCTGGTTCACCTGGGGAAAGGGGAGGCTTGAGGGATGCGCTGAGGGGAGGATGGCACCACCTGCTGCACAGGCAACTCACCAAAAAAAATCCATTTTCTTTTCTCTTTGGCACAGGAACATCCTGGCCTGATCAGCCAGGCCTTACTGGTCAGCCTGGCTGGTTTATCCACAGAGCCACCTCCAACCATTTCTGGGAATGCCGAGAGTTTCTGCCCACATGACCCCACGGCCTTGGGAGGTGCAGTGTGGCTACAGCTTTGTTGCACAATCATCTCCGTGTCACTGGCACAGCAGTGAAGGCTTCCAGAATGATTGACACTGACACTTCCCAGAGTAAAAGCACACATAAATAAATAACAAATAATAAATAAACCAGCCTGAAACGCAATTCCTGCCCAGGAAGAGCAGTCTCCATGCTCTTACAACGCTCCCTGCCATGGCAACACGGCACTGTCTTACAAATAAAGCTTTTTTGAAAATAAGGTCTGTGGGGTGGCCACGGAAGAGGCTCTGGCTGGGACCTGGAGCATGGAATAAATTTCCAGCTGGTGCCGGTCCTGTGGGAGCTCTGGGCCAGGAGGGAGCAGGAGAACCAGCCTGAGGGAGCAGGTCCTGAGCTGGCCCCTCTGCCTCTGGAGCCACCCACACCTACACTGTCCAGGGAAAATCAGAAGGTCTGGACAAACCAAAGCCACCACATCATCTCTGAACATCCTGAGGAGCCTGGGTGCAGCCCCAGGATCTGTCCAAGCACTTCCCATCCCCAGAGGCCACAGATCCCTATCCCAGGACCCTGTGTGGAACAGCTCCGCAGGTGTCACCTCGGCAGGTGACATCCTGCACGGACCTTCCCGGTCTCCAGACCAGCCATGACCGCCAGGACCCATCTCCAGCCCAGGCAAAACCTCCAAGGCACCTGGCTCAGACCCCCACCCCAGGACAGGGCTCTTGCCTCCCAGCAGTGCTGCCTGCTGCATCCTGACCCGCTGCATCCTGACCCGCTGCATCCCGACCCGCTTCACCCTGACCCGCTGCATCCTGACCCGCTGCCCACCCCAAAGCATCCCTGTGGGAGTGGCACTGCAGCCCCCCCTGCTCCTGCCCCTTCCTGTGGGGCTGGGGCACTCCAGGCCTGGGGCCGTGCCCCTGTCATGCCCTGTCAGCCTGAGCAGGGGCACAGTGCCCACTGCACCTGCCCCCACTGCACCTGCTCCCATCCCATCTGCCCCCATCCCATCTTCCCCCATCCCATTTACCCCCATCCCATCTGCCCCCACTGCACCTGCCCCCATCCCATCTGCCCCCATCCCATCTGCCCCCACCCCATCTGCCCCCACCCCACCTGCTCCCATCCCATCTGCCCCCATCCCACCTGCTCCCATCCCATCTGCCAGAAGAAAAGGGGGATTGTTCTGCTGCTCCTGGGGCAGGTATGTGGTGTGCTGATGCTGGGGCTGGGGCTCAGGGCTCATCCTGGCTGCCAGGGCTTGTCCTGATGCTGCAGCTGGTCCCACTGCTGGGGTTCATCTTGCTGTTCATCTCGGGGCTCATCCCACTGCTGGGGCTGGTCCCAGTGCTGGGGGGCTCATCCCACTGCTGGGGCTCATCCCACTGCCTGGGTCTGGGGCTCGTCCTGCTGCTGGGGCTGGTCCCTGCGGTGCTCGGGGCAGCCGTGGGCACTCAGCACCCCCAGCTCATGAGCAGGGCACGCCCAGGCAGTTCTTGGCCCCGTTCCTGCTGCGGCCACACAAAGCACCTCTGTTCCTTGTTCTGCCCGGCACAGGCTCCGCGTGCTCCGCACAAAGCCCAGCACGGACGGCGAGGGACTCGGCCACAGCCCTTCCAGAGATGCCAGTGATCCCAGTGCACACACAGCCAGAGCGGGAATCACAGACTGCTTTGGGATGGAGGGACCTTAAAGCCCATCTCTTCCTGCTGACACACAGGAGGAGCCCAGGGGGTCCCTCCCAGCTCCAAACGAGCTGCTTTTTGAGCCCCCGGGGCATCCCGGTGCTCAGGGCTCAGACACTGGATCTGCCGGGATCCGGGAGGCTCTGGAACGTGACGGGGAGGAACCTTCCCTGCTCCGTGCGGACACGAACGTGCTCCGTCTTGTGCTGAGTGAGAACAAAGCTGATCCTCACCAGCTGCTCCTGCTCCGAGCTCCGGCCTGGCCTCCATAAATAAATAAACGCGGCACTTTCCACACAGCCCGACTGGGACAAAAGGCAGTGGTGCAGGTCTCCATGGTTTAACCCTTGTGCTTTGTCCCCCATGGTTTATGCCTGGTGGTTTATCCCTTGTGGTTTATCCCCAGTGGTTTATGCCTGGCGGTTTATCCCTTGTGCTTTGTCCCCCGTGGTTTATCCTTCCTGGTTTTTCCTCAGTGGTTTATCCCTGGTGATTTATCCCCCATGGTTTATCCCACATGATTTATCCCCCGTGGTTTATCCCTGGTGATTTATCCCCCATGGTTTATCCCCCGTGGTTTAACCCCCATGGTTTATCCCTGGTGGTTTTCCCTGGTGATTTATCCCCCGTGGTTTATCCCCCATGGTTTATCCCTGGTGGTCTTCCCTGGTGATTTATCCCCCGTGATTTATCCCCCATGGTTTATCCCCCATGGTTTATCCCCCATGGTTTATCCCCCGTGGTTTATCCCCCATGATTTATCCCCCATGGTTTATCCC